TTCATGAAATCGGCAGAAAAATTGCCGATTTCACGTTTTCTGCAACAACGATGCTGATTCCATGTAATCGGCAATTTTTCTGCCGATTTCATGAAATCAGCAATTTCACAAATTCGGCGTAACATATATAAGTAAAATATAATAGATACATTTTTAATTTATTTATATACTTATTATATACAAGAAAATTTAAATGTTGAATGAACTTATTGTGTGCCAATAATATTCAACATTTTGAAATAAAATAATCTTTAATCAATCTCCAGTCTCAAGTTATACACATGATGTATAATATATAGGTGTATATTACATATGTTTTTAATCTATACTAATATATAAAGCTGTAGAGTTTGTTTGTTTGTTTGAATGCGCTAATCTCGGGAACTATACTGGTTCGAATTGAAAAATTATTTATTTTTTTGGATAGTCTATTCATCGAGGACGGCCATAGGCTATATAACACCACGCTACGACCAATTAATAGAAGCTTGGGAGTTGGGGAAGTGCTCAAACAGGGATTTTGAAATATACGATGTAAATATTTGTTTATAAATGGTTGCTAGGAGAAATAATTAATAGAAATGGTATTTATTTATTATTGGTTGCTATTGGTTAATCGGGCAGATCAGATATAAGCAAGCATCAAATCGAATTTTAGCACATTGCCTACCAGGGTGAATGAGTTGTGCTTACTGCAGTGAGTTACACCAAAAAGGAGTTGAACAATCACAATTTCTTTTAAAGAGTTTTCATTTTTTACGGGCCACGAAGTTCGCAGGATCAGCTATATTATATAAATAAACTAATGTTTGTGTGCAGATTTCTGGAAAGAAGATAGGCTAATTTAAAAAAGGGTTAAATTTGGTTTTTTATTCATTGGATTTCAGTATGGATTTTAGAGTTAAATATATGATAGGTAATGATATTTTGGAAAAAAAATAATTACCAGCATTATTTGTAATTCCACATAATATAACCGTGCACTAGTCGAATGTACAATTATTGGCGTATTTGGCAAGTCTCAAGTACACCAGTCATGGGAATATGGCTATATCGGAATATAAAATTGTACGTCCTGAAGTTTCAATTTAATGTTGCCACTTGTTAGCTTAAATATTAGAGTGAATTGACCTATTATTATCAAACGTATATATAGTTATATTATATCTATAATATTTTGCCATGTGCTACGATATATACATATATAATGCACATATAATAATGAATTATAATGTTAAAGCACGTCTATAGTATGCGACGTTATATTTTATTAAAAAGTGTCTTCTACACACCACTACCTAAATATTATACATTCATAGTTTCAAACCATATTTTCCATGTGTTCTGAAATATCGCATATACTTGTAATGTGTTTCTTTCCGTGCGTAATTAATTATGTAAATCTATATTGTAGCCAATAAAACACTTGAGATGATTAATTAATATTAATTTATGTCTAATGTAGAAATATATTTAGTTTCAGTACCCGGAGTGGGAAAGGGAGATATAGCGACGCAGGCTTATGCTTTTTACACTCGAATTCTTATTATTTAACCGGGATAGTCAGTATGAAGGATCCAAATACAGATAATTCAATCGCCGTTTTTACAGAAGTAAAGCATCATATTCAATGGATTCGTGGACTGTATAACAAATATAATTAAGAACAATAGGATTTTGGTAATGCCATAAAAATAATTTAATCTAATTGTAATCAAAATCAATCATTTGTAATAAATAAGGTAAATCTATATTGTATCTACTACCCAATAACAGTGGTATGATTGAATTACGTATGTTTTATAAATAAAATATGTTTTTTTTCAGGACAAGGGGTGTTTAAAGGGGATAGCGGTGCAGGCTAAAGCTTTTTATACTCCAATTCTTATTATTTAACCGGAATATTGAGTATCAAGGATCCAAATACAAATAACTCAAGTTCAGATTTCACAGATATTAAGTATTACATGCCATGACTTCGTGGACTATATATAACAAACATCACTATTTATAATACGATTGAGGTACCTATAGTGTTATAAATATAAACATAATAGGTACATAGGTATGTACTGTATTTACCTGTATTGATAGTAGTTACCTAAGCATTATACATATATTCAAACAATTTTTAGGATATACCAATTTTGCATTGTAAATTTATTATTTCATAGTTATTGCTTCCTAGGTATTGTCAACTGTATTTGAAATAACTACTTGTTTTAATATTATTATTAGTTTATGAGTTATATAATTTTGTGCACTATGGTTATTATGTCTAATGTCTGTAGTAATGGGTAAAGTTGATATGGAATATTAGAATGTTTGTCATTACTATTGGTTTATTATTTTTTTTTTTTTTTATTTTTTAAAAGAAATATACCATCTGTACCCAGAGACACAATAAGTATATGGGCTGATTTACAAAAAGGCGTGAATGATTTGTTGGAAGAAGCCACCCTGTAGTGACACTTCCTAATAACTATTGGTTTATTAATAAAAAAATTGATGCAATTATAACAAAATATACTGTATTTTATATTACATAATATAATTTATATTGCTGAAAAAAAATGTTATTATTTATTTTTCCAATTAAGTATTAAACTACAGCATGCCACCATTGGGTGACTTCCCCCTCCTGTCAATCAAACCACATCCCATTTACTTATTGTGTAACTTGTAAATACAGATTGTCAATATACATTTTTGTTCAATAAAAAAAAAGTATTTAACTGATTTGTAAAATATTTAATAATTAGTTTTTTAATTAAGTACCTAGATACAATTTAAAATAAAAAATTGAACAAAATACACATCAACGGTCAATAGAAATGTTACAATATTTTATTTTTAATAATGTATTAAATACGTAACTTTCCTGTAAATACTTAATGAATAATCCAAACAAAAATTAACAATTAACAAAATAACAAATACTTGGTAATAAAATAATAGATAAGGGAAAAATCAAAAAACTTAACCTAACCTAAACTGGGAATAATAAGGCCGAGTGGTCTTATTTTCACCCTTTTTAAACCTGTGGTCTTATTGTCTCAATTTAGTCTAAAAAAAAAAACTGGGGACAATAAGACCGCGTAGTCTAATTGTCATCTCGTTGGTTTTATTGTCACCTGTAGCGTCTTATTATCCGAGGTCTTATTGACACCTTTTTCAAATTTAATACAATTTTACAAAAATCAAGTACGCCAAGAGAACAAGACTTTTCATACGAAGAATTCATAGAATCATTGCATATTATAATGTTCTATTGTCCCTATGACCCACAGGCGCAACTAGGGTTCAAATTAAGGGGGGCTACAGCCCACCTAACAAAACCATTGATTTAAAATAACTCATAGGCGGCTGATATCAAAATCGATAAGGAATATTTTTAGTTGTCCTTCTTCCTCATGTTCCAACTTAAAACAATAGCCAAACTCACTGTGTGGTGACAAGATGGATTATTAGGGGCAAACCACCCTTTGAAATTTATCCCTATTAACCAAAAAATAAATAAATAATTTAGGTATATATATTACTATACCAGATATATAAGTGTTGAATAAATATCAATATAAGTAACAACTAATAACTAACTAATTAACTTTTCAAACAAATTTAGTTGCAGTTGCCAAATATTTTATTTGGACTGAAATTTCAGAGCCTTATTACGGTTTCGTGTAGATTCAGGTGACACTATTCTAGAAGAACATTTGAACAATGGTCCAAAAAATTCGTTGTATACTAGTCCTGGTATTCAAAATAAGATTATTTCTATTTGTGGTCATATAATTAAGTCAAAAATAGTAAAAAGAGTTAATACTGCCGAGTGCTTTTCTGTGTTAGCTGACGAAACTACAGACATTGGAAGAATTGAGCAAATGTCTGTATGTTTGCGTTATTAAGAAATAGATTTTCCTCGTATTACTAAAAGAAAAACACACCGTAATAATGTGCCCGCTAATACTTCTGAAGAGTATTACAAGCTTAATATATTTTTGCCATTTCTTGACCATATAATAATACTGATCTGATAGATTTCAGAAACATAAATCTTTAATAAGTTCATTACAACAAATTATTCCAAGTAAATGTATAGTATATATTCCACTAGTGAAGAAATAAACGATTGTGTACAGTTTTATTCCCAGATATTAACAGAACCTACTGTTTTCCAAGCTGAATTTTCAATATGGAAATCAAAGTGGCTTAAAGAAGAGTCACGCCCTAATACATACTTTTGTTTCCAAACAACTTTTGCAAGTCTTAGCAACTGCAGTACCTATGTCAACAGCGACACCAGAAAGAACATTTTCTTCTTTAAAAAGATTGAAAACGTATCTTAGGAACTCGACTGGTGAAACTCGTCTCAACGGATTAGCATTAATGTCAATTCACAGGGAAATAAATGTTGACCCAGAAGAGGTGCTAAATCGGTTTGCAAAACACTCGAGGAAAATAATGTTGCTTTAAAATCAAACTCTGGTTTGTTGTAAATTTAATAATTTTTTTTTGTTAAATAAATACAGTATAAATAAAAATAAAATTGATGTATTTTGAATAATAATTAATAAAGTAAATTTGTATTTGTATTGGGGTGCCGGTTGCCTGTTCGACGGTCATGTGTTCGAAAATGTGTGTTCGAAAGTTCATGTCATCGAAAAATTGTGTTTTCGAAAAGCCATGTGTTCGATAAGTCATGTGATTAAAAGGTAATTTGTTCGAATAGTTATTTTTCAATTGTAATAAAATATTATATATCTATAATAATAATAAATATAATATTATATATATTATATATATACGATCTAGAACGTGGTCCGATAACGAAAAATAGGTTATGTCATTAAGCAATCGATAAGTATAACAATATGCGTTATGCCTCATGCGATTATACTATACATGTTAACATTTTATCTAAAATACGCTATAGTGTTGACAGGAGACAGGAACATAGTACAGTACGACATACGCAATTGAACTACGTGATTTTAAAAATGAACATAGAAATTTTAAATAGTATTCATGGTGGTGTAGTTTTAAGTATTAATAATTATATATACATAAAAAATAAAGACTACATTAGAAAAATAGACAATATACATATTTTTTATTGGACTTGTGTAAAAAAATGTGGTGCAAAAATTCAGACTTTTTGTGAAAATAATGTACATTATATTGACAAGAATTGTATTTTTTCTGAAAATTACCATTTGCACGGAGCTGATCCAATAAGTGTAGGAGCAAGAAAAATAAAAGAAACTATAAAAAAAAATGCACGAGAAAATCATGATAAACCAATACAAATATACCACGCTGCAATTGCAGGAACGTCTCAAACAATTAATTCAAAAAATTATGCTTCAGGTCTATTTAACTTCATTAAGTTAATACAAAAAGTGCAAAACGATACAGAATCAACAGTTGAACAGCTTATACAAGGACGGACTTCAAAAAGAGCAAAAAAGAACGTCGATGTACAAAATGCTCGCCTTAAATGTATTCAACAAAGAATTTCCGATGACGACAAGTTAGACAAGTTAGAATTTTTAAAAGGCATTGCACATAATTTAACTTTATAAATATTTATTTTTATTTTCATACTAACATTTATTTTACTTTAATAATAATACAATTTAATAATATATAATATTTTATTACAATTGAAACATAACTATTCGAACAAATTACCTTTCAAACACATGGCTTTTCGAAGACACAATTTTTCGATGACATGAACTTTCGAACTCACATTTTCGAACACTTGACTTTCGAATATATGATTTTCGGACAGTTGACACCCACCCTTTGTAGGGTATCTATTACAATTATAATATTATATGGTCATATTTAATTCATATTCTTGAAAATTATGTTTTAGTTTTATATTAAAATGATCCCCCCCCCAAATGAATCTTGGATACGGCCATGCCTAAGACTAAGCCAATCTTTCTCAGTTAGCATATACGTGAATACCTAATTACTTAAATAAACATTTATAATTTATTCGTTATATCAATTATTGTGCCTCATAAGTATAAAATATATACTCATTTACTTTATTGGCAATAATATCATCAAATATACTTAGTAATATCATAGGCTGACTGACCGTTTTCGCTCAGAATCGATTTTCTTATTCAATGATATTATATAATAGTATTTAAATTTAACACCATCCATTACAGTGACACACTTATTGCCTACTGTACAGCAGAGCGATATCCACTTACCCACCTTTTTAACATTTAGGATGGTCTGGTCAAAATTAATTCATGCGTTTTACCAACTGTCGAAGGAGTTGTATACTCTTATGAAGATACTAATGAAACTTTGTCTCACGGGACATTATAATTAATCATCGTCGAACTGTTATTGAGACATGTGTAGTTGGATATCACAAGACCTATCCTTATGGTCTTAGGGCTTGTCATGAAAATGGAAAATGGTTATCGAACTCTGATAAATTGTGTTTAAGTAAGTTTTTTGTATAGTCATTCGAAAGACATAATAGTTACTAAATTATTATTATATTGAAAGTCTAAATTATGGGTTTTTATAATAATTATGTATAATTATTTTTATTTATAGAAATGTGTCCACCTCTAGAATCAGATAGTTTAAATATCAAATGTAGTCATAATGGTAAATATGCGAATTGTTCAAATTTATCGATACCCGATACAATAGCAACACCATCATGTAAGCCAACATATACTGCACCAAATGGACAAGATGAGACTCCGCTTGAATTACTTTGTCAGCCTAATGGGACGTGGAATAAATAGCTGTAGAGATGCAATCCATGTAATAGTTTTTTATGTCACATAAATATAGGTCTCTAATTCATATATATTTAAAAAATGTATTTACTTTTTACGGTTTACAGTATCTAAATGTTTTGTTTATTCTATAGATGTTGTTACCTATTAACTATTACCTATATCGTTTATACTAATTTCAAACATCATCTTAGATTGCGGTCGAGTATATATCATAAACCAAGTATTGATCGTAAACGGTGAAAAAGCACCTATTGGAACTGCACCTTGGAATGTTGGAATATATCAATTAAATAAAAAAAATTCCAATTATGACTTGATTTGTGGAGGATCAATTATTACTTCAAATTTAGTGGTTTCTGGTAATGTCTTTATACAACAAGTTGAAGCAAGACTGTAAAATAAATTAATAATTTTTTAGCGGCTCATTGTTTTTGGCAAAAAGGTTTGCTATCTAGGAGAATATCAATAAACGATGGTTTATACAAAATTTCTGTTGGAAAATATGATAGAAATATTACTGTTATTGACAATGACTTTACTCAAATAGTAAATGTAAGATATCAATAATTCAAAAGTCTAAAAAATATTTGTATTATTATTATAATATAAATTAAAACAATTGTGCAGGTTGTAATGATTCACCTGAATGAAGATTATTATGGACCTACTGGGTTTCATGCTCAAGATATAGCTATTATTGTGTTACAAAGCAGAATTTCTTTTAGTAATGGTGTTTCACCTGTTTGTATTGATTGGAATGGTAAATACAATGTAGTCAATGGAGATCAAGGAAAGGTCGGTGTAAAGTATTATTTAAATATTTTTAATGATTTTGAGAGTGTGAAGAAATAGGTACCTAACTACGAAATTATGTTATATATTAACATAGAATGTCTGCGTAGTCTTCAAACTCGCTTTTTTAACATCTATACAAAAGGTATGATGATAACACGTTTTCATTCGTGGTCGGAAAAACACTGCCCAAGAGATAGGTATTGACCAGAATCCTTATATGTGATACTTTGTGTGTGTGTGCGTGTGTAAGTGTAATTGTATCTGATGTAATATTACATTTATAGTCTTAATTCTAAATGTCATTAATTAAAGTTATTATATAAGTTGACGTGAACTATAATAATCTATTGTAATGAATATAATTTGATTTCTTATTTTAATTTTTTAAATGTTGTCTGAATAATATGTATAATTATAATGCATATGATCTTTAAATTTAAATGTCGTTTGATAAGTATAATTAATATATAATTAAATATGATATTTATATAGTATATATATTCATAACATATTAAATTTGTCATTTAATTAGAGTTTATTATTGTGCCTGTCGCTAGAGAGTTATATTTATCGCAATAGCAAAAACAAATACCGTGAGAGTCTTTGCTTAACTATGATATGTATAACTAAAAGAAATTCTTTAAATTCAAAGTATAAGACCATTCATAATTATTTTTAATCATTTTATTTCAAATTCAATCGAATATCGAAATGTAAAAATATTGATCAGTCAGACTTTATTAAACTAATTATACTCATTAATAACACGCACATAAAAAAATTATAAATATTATACGATAGTTATAATTTTACATTATAAAACTGTTTTATACTTTTACAGATCGTCGGTTGGGGAAAAACTGAAAAAGGCATTTCAAGTCCTGTATTATTAGAAGCATCTTTACCATACATTGATCATAGCACTTGTAGAGATATGTATAAAAACGGATTTGAATTATTTGTGACGGTTGATAAGTTTTGTGCTGGTTCTGCATTAGGTAACTATTGAATATGAAGGTTAACTTAATTTTGTATTTAATTAATAAATTACATTTTACAACTTGTATAATAATACAAAATATATTTTTACAAATCCATCAAACAAACTAATATATATATATATACACTGCGTGGCGTGAGTGTACGTTGATTTTCCGCACGAGGTATAACTATAATCTCTTGATGCCAAGTTGATCCATAATATACAAAATTTAATTATTCCGGGAATATTAACTTATTGTTACTAACCTGAACCATTATTTAAATTAATTTAAACCAGAATCAATACTTTTACGTATACATAAGTATAAAACCAAAACAGGTAACGACATTTTCATTTTTTAAGAACCAAAATAGCCCATCACCTTAATTTTTGTTTTTTTTTTTTAAATCGAAAGGAACTGAAACCAAAATGTTGAATATGAAGGTTAACTTAATTTTGTATTTAATTAATATATTAAATTTTACAATTTGTATAAGAATTAAGAATACATAATATATTTTTACAAATCTATTTAACAAACTATTGTATACACTGCAAGCGTATGTTGATTTGAAACTAGAGTTAAAACTATATAACCGCTTGTCTTCGACTCCAAATTGATGATTCATAATAAACAACATTTTACACACAATTTTATTTTATACACACTTTTCCGGGATTGTTAACTTATTGTGAGGCACAATGGTATAAGGTAATCGTTTTTGGTCCATTGATTAAGTGACTAACTGAAGATTTCGTCTCTTTCTTCAATAGCGGTTACATTAATAGCTACATAGGTATAGCGGTCAACGCGTCGGCTGCGGCGCTGCCGGTTCGGGTTCGATCCTCGACCACTGGGTGGCATTTTTCTCCGGGCAAGTCACGGTGTCCGGAGAACAAGTGCCACCATCCCCCACTCCGGGGCATGGCAGATACCTACGGGTGCCATATTAGAAATTCTGCCAAAACACAACACACACGTGTACCAACCTACCCAATCTAAAAACCTACAGTTCCCTCCCCACACCCAATGGCCTATGTTGCCGCGGGTTATCCAATAAAAAAAAAAAAAAATAGCTACATGTCTGCACTCTGCAGATTCTTCCATTACTATTCACTATTGCATTCTTCTATGTTGAAGTGGTAGATCCTAAGGATCCCCCACCCTACACTTCTGATTCCTTTGGTCCAGATAAATACCTTTTTTCGTCTTACTATAACTATATTTGCTATGTTATCAGTACCTACTATATTATCACAAATACCTATTATGTTGTAAGTTTCCTCCGTTATTAATACCAAAAAAAAATCTGTATTGAACCAGTACGTACCCAATAACAGACGTATGATTATTAATCATTATAAATTTGTGTCTAATGTTTAAAACATATTTAGTTTCAGGACAAGGAGTCGGGATGGAAGATAGCGGCGCAGGCTTGTGCTTTTTACACTCTAATTATTATTATTTAACAGGAATAGTGAGTATTAAGGATCCAAATACAAATAATTCAATCGCTGTTTTTACAGAAATAAAACATCACTTTCAATGGATTCGTGGATTGTATAACAAATATAATATATAAGAACAGTAGGATTTTGGTAATGACATAAAAATAATTTATACTAATTATAATTGAAATTAATATTTGTATAAGTAGATTTTATGTAACAATTTTTAACAGTTCTTACAACTGTCCATTTACATTTAAATAATGGGTAAGTATTTCTCAATACATAGTGGTACCTAAGCATTGTAATATATTTATTTGACAAATATTAAATTTAAACAGCTTTTAGAATATACCAATTTTGCATTGTACATTAAATGTTTTATAATTACTACTACGGTATTTATTGTCCATTGTATTTGATTTAACTACTAGCCTATTAATATTATTTTTATAAATTGTACTGTTTAATTTAGACTTGGATTTTTTGATGACAACTTCTGCTTCAAAACTTAATATTTGAGGAAGCATATATATTTTTTAATATTATAGGTTAACAATAAATGTTGAAA